CACACCCCATATGTACACGTTATTGATTTCACACAGAGACATCCATCTCCACCTCCCTTCTCCACTCCCAAAGTGCTGCCCCTGGAGCACACAACTCCGGTGCTGACTACCATGGAAAGGGTGACTTGGGGTCGGTAGAGCCACAGCAGCACTGGCCTCTGAGTGCAGCATCTGTGGTTCCCAGAGCCTGCCACCTCCTCTGGTTCCCATCACCTCCTAGAACAGTGCTGCCAACTGGTGGCCAGGTATTCAATGTCTGAGCCTGTGGGGACAGTTCAGACTCAAACCATAACAGACAGGAAGGCCAGAGTCTGACGGTAGTTCTTGCTGATTTTAGAGCCCACTCTTTTAAAAGCACTGGAAACATTGTAAAGGGCAGTTCAACTCCTGCCCACAGGGAGCTCGGGTGATAGTGGAAAGCAGTGCAATGGAGTCCAGAGGCCGTGAGCACAGCTTCCTCTGGACAACCCTAGCCCTCGTGGCCAGACCATGGGGGACTTCATGACGGATGGACTGTGGACTCGAGGCTGTGCCGACCCTCTTTAGAGGGGATCATTTGCACACCCGTGTTGTAGTGACACATGAAGTCAGTACGTCAGTGCAGAGCATGTCCGTAACATTTTTGCTTTATTTTATTCTATCGGTATCATTTTTGCAGCACTCAGGATTTAACACATGATAGAGCCGTGCTTCCACCCATTTCATTTTGTTTACCCATTCACTTGTTTACTTTAAAAATTTTAGAGACGATCTTGCTATGGGTACTAAGTTGATCTTGAACTCAAGATCCTCTTACCTCAGGTTAAATGTTGGAATTACAGCTGGGTACTACCACATCTAGATCTGTGTACTACCACATCTGGATCTGTGTACCACCACACTGGGTCTGTGTACCACCACACTGGACCTGTGTACTACCACACTGGACCTGTGTACTACCTCAGCTGGGCCTGTATACTATCACACACAGCTGGACCTGTGTACTCCCACAGCTGGACCTGTGTACTCCCACAGCTGGACCTGTGTACTCCCACAGCTGGACCTGTGTACTACCACAGCTGGGCCTGTATACTATCACAGCTGGGCTTGTGTACTACCATAGCTGGACCTGTGTACTCCCACATCCTGACCTGTGTACTACCACATCCTGACCTGTGTACTACCACAGCTGGGCCTGTATACTATCACAGCTGGGCCTGTGTACTACCACATCCTGACCTGTGTACTACCACATCCTGACCTGTGTACTACCACACTGGACCTGTGTACTACCACATCTGGGCCTGTATACTATCACACACAGCTGGACCTGTGAACTACCACAGCTGGGCCTGTATACTATCACAGCTGGGCCTGTGTACTACCACATCCTGACCTGTGTACTACCACATCCTGACCTGTGTACTACCACAGCTGGACCTGTGTACTCCCACATCCTGACCTGTGTACTCCCACAGCTGGAACTGTGTACTCCCACATCCTGACCTGTGTACTCCCACAGCTGGGCCTGTGTACTCCCACAGCTGGGTTTTTGGTTTTTTGTTGGAAACAGGTTCTCTAAGTTACCCAGGTTGGCCAGCCACTCACTGTGCTGCCAGGTAGGCTGAGGTCTTCTGATGCTCTTGTCTCAGCCTCCTGAGTGCTGGAGTCGTAGATGGTTTCCATCTCTCCTGGCCTAAACATCAGTTACCTAAGGCTTCATGCATTCTTTCTACTGTGTGCCTGCTGGTTACTGTCAACATGGAAAAGCTCATGAAACCTGGGAGAGGTGTGTTCATCCCGGCTGGATGCAAAACTTTCCTCCTGAAGAACTGTTGGACTCAGGCAGTCCCTATAACCATGTGCTGGTGGCTGCAATTGATCTCTATCCCCTCTAAATGACAACCACAATGGACAAGAAGGAAATAGCAAAGATCAAAGAGCAAGATGTGTGTGTGTGTGCGTGCGTGTGTGTGTGTGTGTGTGTGTGTGTGAGAGAGAGAGAGAGAGAGAGAGAGAGAGAGAGAGAGAGAGTTATAACTGCAGTAACCTCATGCCCACAAGGTACTCTGTGGATATCTCCCTGAACAAAGATATCATTGATAAAGATGCTTTCAAAAACCCAGCTCTGAAATGCAAGGCCAGATGAGGGGCCAAGGTCAAGTCTGAAGAGAGATACAAGATGAGCAAGTACAAGTGGTTCTTCCAGAAGCTTTGAGTTTCCATCATTAAAATAAATACAAGGGGGGAAAAGGACTCCACAAAGTCAAGTGTCCTTTTCAAAGAACTGCCAGGGTGGGAGCAAGGAGAGTCCCCTGCACATGAGTCCAGACTTTCAGAGATGGCTTAGGGACATTAGGGCCCTCTCCTCTCACTACTTGCCAGCCCTTCTCCATGCAGACTCTGGGGAGGTTTCCAACTCCAGGGCTTGGGAAGACTGTGTCCTGGCGCTGAAATTCAGCAAGAGACTAGGAGAGTGGTACCCCCATATCCTTTACCTGTTCCTGACACCCGTCTACTATCGCTCTTCGGAGGATAAGAATCTGTTCTTGAAGTCATGAATCGTTGGTATAGGCCCTGGAGAACCTGGCTCAGCGGATAAGAACACTGGTTACTCTCCCAGAGGACCAGAGTTCAATTCCCAACACCCATATCACCTACATCAGGCAGCTCACAATCATTTGTAACTCCATCTCTAAAGGATCTAATGCCTCTGACCTCTGACCTCTGACTTCTGACCTCTAGGTCACTTATACTCCCTTGGACATACCAACATTCTCTCTCTCTCTCTCTCTCTCTCTCTCTCTCACACACACACACACACACACACACACACACACCTAAACATAATTAATAAAATAAAATCTCTTTTTTTAAAAAAAGAAGAAAAATAATTTGTTCAGTTTTCATCTTACTCCAGGTCACATAACACCCCCTCCCAAAGTCATCAAAAAGTGTGCATTTCCCATCCAGAAAAATATTCCCATGCCTGCTTAAGGGCTACCCCTTTAGACCACACAGACCTCTGTCCCCTGCCTGTGAAACCTCATTTACGTGGCGTTTATGAACATACACTGCTAGCATGGTTCTATCTTCATATTAGTTACTGTTGTCCTTCTTTTTCTGTGTCAGATTTATAAACTAAACTCATAGGCACATACAAGGCAGAGTGAGTATTGGGTTTGGTGGGGTCTGCAGCTTCAGGCTTCCCTGAGGTTATTGAACATGTATGTCTTCTGCATATGAGGAGAGATAATAATGATTGTCCATTATGTTCCAAGAAGCCCAACGTTTAGCCCAGTGTCTCACTGCAAAATATGTGTCTTAGTGATGGGAAACCTGATGAGCCCCACAGCGTGCAAGCTGGCCAACCAAGGGATGGTGTATGTTTCCCATGGGGGAACCCATGACATTTCTTCCTTGTCTGTTTGAAGTTGGGAGGGGGGAGCGGAACTCTTCCTATCCCATCCCATCCCTTCCCATCCCATCCCATCCCATGTCAAAGGGAGTCAAGGCAGAAGTAGCCAGCATGGTAGCTGTGCTTCTTCTCCCACCTTAAGAAGCCCAGAATATGGAATGTTCCAGAACAAGCCAATGCCCTTGCTTGCTCAACAGCCAGCACTACCAACTCCCTAGCAGAGGCCCTGGGCGGCTATGCTAAACCTGGCCTTCGCATATCATGAGCATCCACACTGCAGAATTTCTACCATCAATGTAGCAGCTGAATGCTTTAAGACTCCGAACTCCCCCATCTGTGTTTTGCCTCCCAAGAGGGAAAATAGTCTTCACAGACATTCCCTTATCTGGCAGGCAGATTCCAAACCTTACTGGCAACCACGGGCTTGTTTTCCCAACCCAGAAGCAAAGGAACCAAAAATTGTTCCCGCCTGCGATATGCCGAGGAGGGACCTAGCCAGAAGCTCCGTCTGCAGTCTCTAAACTGGAGCTCCTGAGCTGCCCACTTTCCCCCCCTCCTAGAGGGCACCTTGGGATCTGCAAAGTCACAGGCCTGCCAGGCCGTTGATGGCCCCCACTACTGCTTTCGTTAACTGCTCCTTTTTCTGAGCATAGAATACACCCACTAAGAAGCTGCGGGAAAACACTCAGCGCGGTGTGAAATCAACACTTTCCGACTCAAATAACGGGGTAAACCAGGGAAAACTTCCAACCTTCTCACTGTAGACATTTTCCTCCGGCAAGAATCACAGGGCCTTGACGCCACCATCCGCTTGTCCCCGCATATGAGGGAGCCCCCCGCCCCAGACCTGGCTTTTCACAGGTTGCTAATTCCTTGTATTCCTCCTGCCTGGCCTTTCACATTCTTAATCCCGGAACCCTGAACCCAAGCAATTGCTAATAAGCCAATATGGGATGATCACCGTGCAAGTCTAATTGATAGGAGTCTCTATTGACTGGCCTTGATGTCTATCTGAGCTTTCCTCAACAGCCAAGATTTAAATGTTTCATTTTAGTTTTAACTTTCACTTTCCCTCATTGCAGTGTCAGGCAAAGAGGTACGGGTTTCTCTATCGGAAAGAATCACGGTGCAGAATAATTTATGACTTCAGCTTCCAGAAAAGCCATTTCAAATCTTCACTTTGATTTGGTTGTATCAAAACTACTCAAAATAACAGCAGCACTTTTCTTGGAACCAGAAAAAACGCGCACAGCTCCTCGGGATTTCGAGCTAGAGCTTCATCTCTACCCCCAGAAGAAAATTCCAGAAAGGAATTAAGCCACGGGGTGAAAAACACAACACTGGGGTGAAGCACCACGAGAAAATAGAACATTGTTGTTCGGAATCCTTTTGTTTCAAACCACCACCACCCAAACCACGAAGGCACGCCAGTCCCCAGGAGCCATGGCCCCGGATTGACTGGGTGGGTGCAGGCGCCTCCACTTGTGTCCAGGAGAGACTTGGCTGGGGTGCATAGTGGTTAGCTTGAATTGGGTTTGTGTGAAGTCAACAGGGCAAAGCAGGAAGAAGGGAGGGCAGACCGCTTTAGCAGGGTGAGACTTACCTTAACACCCTCACTGCATGCTTGACTAGGACTGTCAGTCTAGTAAGACTATATCCCCAGAAAAGACGCACCGGATCCAGGCGCTGAAAGATGGCCGGAAGGGTGTCCTCGCGCTCCCTGTCACAAACAGAAAAGGAGATAGAGAAAGAAACCATGTAAAGCAAAATGTAGCAAATTCAGGAAATCACAGCCACACTCTGAGGTCAAGGAAACTCGGCTGCAAAGGTTAAAGATGAAATCAAATCCAGAGTACGAGAATGGAAATCTATCCCCACGCAAGGCCACCAGTGACGCGCCGTAGACAAGAAGCTAAATACTGCCTAGCACTGGGATCCTTTATTTCCATCAGATCAATAAGAGCTTATATTTATCAGGATTCCAAACAGCTGCCACTTTTGACAACCTCCACTTTATTTTCTCACTCCTTGCGCTGTATCGGGGCAGAGAGGACCCGAGAAGCGGCTTTTAAAGCTATTTACACCTGAAGACACAATTCCATTAAGAGGTCCTGTTTTGTTAAAGAAACAGGGACTGATATGATTATATTGGCAGGAACGGGAAGCGCCTTTGTTCTTCTCCCCAGGTCTTCCCCTCCGTGAGCCAGACCCTGCAAGGAGAAGGTCTGATCCGAAGTCAGGGTACAGGCACTTCTTTTTCCTTGCTTCTGTGCAAACTTGCCATTCGTAGAGGCAGGAAGGACTCTGCTAAAATGGTTACCCCTCTAATCGTCTGTACGGCAATATTTGCTATCAGGCATTCTAAATAGATTATCAGCAGTCCATCTGTGTCATTATTGATTTATAAGGCTTTAAGCAGCTTTAGAATGGAAGCTTTCCCACCGAGGGGCTCCTTGTATAAATCAGAGCCGTGCTCAAATATAGCAGCCATCATTCAAGATATTGTTCTTCAAATCATAACAAGAAGGAGAAAATGATAAATTGCTTGTAATATACTGATCCAAACTGATATGCAAATCTTGTTTTTAAAATATATTACTTGAGTAAAAAGAGGCATCATTAACATATGAATGCTATATGCAAATGATCGTGACAGAGCAGATGTTGGCGCATGTAATTGACCTATATGTGAATTGCATCAGAACCCTTAACTCTATTAATTCACTACCCAGTAACTAGATATTGTCCAAAAAGTACATTCTTTGAAACCATATACTGGAAGCAAAGCTGACAGGGTTCCAAGGATTCAGAAACAAGGTCACTGTCAGTAGTATTTTGCTGTCATCTGCATTCCCCTTCTTATGGATGACATCATCATGTGGCCGTGTAAATCGATCACTTAATAGCATTTAGGAAATACTGCAGTGGGGAACAGGTTATAAAAAAAAAACTGTCCCAGTTTTATTCTTTTTCTTGGCAGAAATGTCATACCTCTTAAACTGAGGGTTTGTGCATGAGTGCCCTGTGAAACTCACAGATGCCATTTTATTCCCCGTCTTTATTTTTCCACTTCTTCTCAGAATGACATTAAATTGTATTAAATAGCCTTTTGTCCACAGGGCACAGACCACCCCGCATATGATAATGCATTAATGCCCCACGTTCCAGCCACTGAGCTGAAACATTCTCAGACTTAGAGGATAAGTATGAAGCGCCATTGTGTGTATAGCCCGCTAACAACTGTGACACATACTAATAGAAACATACCTAATAAATTACTGCTTTCAGGTCTAGCAAGCTGACATTTCTCTGCAAGGGACAATTTTATATTTGTGGCACAGAACAAAATTGCTTCATATGAAGCCACTGTGGATTAGCATAAAAATTAACACTTAAATTTCAGCTTATTTTCCACCCTCTCCTCCTGCCACAACAATCAATTCCTCTTATAAATCTGATTAGATTTTATGATGCTTATTATTCCAAGCATGCCTCAACACAGCATTCACGGGCTTGAAGACTATTTGTTTAAATAGAAAAAAGAAGCAGATAAATCTATAGGTATTTTTTATTACCCCTTTCCCCACCAGTTTCTTTCTCATATTGTAACATCAGTAATTGATTGCACACATTAATTAACATGTAAGGTAGAAATTCTGCATTATGTGTGATTTATTTTCCTATCTGGTGAGTAGGTTTGTGTGTTGCCCTTGTATTTCTAGGACATTGGGCTCGATTCTGGTCCAGACATGAATGTCAATGCTCACTCCCCCGAAAGTTATTAATGTCAGATATGAAATGAGATTTTTGATTTCACCTGCTTACTAATCCACAAAAGCTGTTTTGAGTGATGTAGGCTTAAACGCTCAAATTTGAAATGATATATTGCTATATCTGATAACATGCAAATATGTTCATTAGACATAATTTAGCAGGAGAGAATAGCAACACTTTCATAACAAGCCGAGGTCAAAAATGGTTGTTAATTAAACAAGTCGTGAAAAATGGCATTGCAGGGACACTGTCCGGCAGACACCAGGCTCGCCAGGGATACGCCATAGATAAATCCAAGGCTCTGCTCCAATATGGAAGGGGGGCTTCTACCTGCCTCACCTAGCCGAAATCAAGGCTCACACAAAGACTGTGAGTTGGCCATGCGTGATGCTACTTTGAGTCAAAAGGTAACATGCTATACTCATACATAAGAAGATGTGATTTCACTTTCTGTCTTCACGGCTTACAGTGATTTATATGGTTGACTCTTTCACAGACAAACCAGGAAAGAAATTAATATTACATCCGGCCACATACGGCTGGTTGTCCTGAGTGTTTATAGCTGTGTATTTTAAACCAAGCAGCTAAAGTAACAGACCAAACCAAGGCTGGGATGTTGAGGGAAGGGGTGGGGGCTGAGCTGGATGAAGAGCTATGCATGCTTCTTTGATTCTTTCCTTTTCCTCTGGTCCTTCTCAATTGTGTGCATTGGTTACCTAGGGAACCAGCTAGCAGTAAGAACTCTTCCCATTGGTCATGAGTTGAGATTCAAGGTGGGTGGGGTTCTGAACCACAGGTAAAATAAGCATCTAGACTTCTTAGGGTTTGGATGCCTGAGTGCCTTCAGAGAAGATGGTACCATGGGAGCCAACTACACTCTAGGGTGGGCAACAGTGTTTTCCAACTGAGTACCCACAACCTTCATACAGGGCATGGCATCATTCACAGGGTGGTTAAGGACAAAGACATCATCTGGAACCAACAGGAGCCTCATGCCATGTGTGACAGTCATTGGTTGATGTAATACTTATCCAAAGAATCCCTGGGGGGGGGCCTCTCTGTGAGCAAGAATTGCTCATGAGTGCATGGGAGTCACCCACAGCAAGGAAAGTTCATGTGAGATGAAATATTGAATCCAAAATGTCCTCCAGAAGTTGCTGTTTAGTGTGGTTGGTCCCTGGCTGCTGGCACTATTTTTGGAAGGTTATGAAAGGAGCTTTAGGAGGTAGAACCTAGCCGGTGGCCAGTCATTGTGGAGAAAGGCTTTGAAGGTTAAATGGCCCCGGGTTTCTGTTTCCTCTGCTTCCTGGTCTGCCATGGTATGAACAGTCTTTGTGCCTACTGTCACTGCCATGAACTCACCTGTCCATTGAGCCTTCCTCACCATGATGGACCGAAACCGTTTAAAACCGTGAGCCAAAAATAAATCTCTCATCTTTTAAGTTGTTTCTGTCGAGTATTATGTTCAACGGTGACGGGAAAGGAGTGGATACAGTGAGAACCCAGGACCAGGACTCAACACTTAAGATCTCTCTAGTCCTCGTTCATGTCCTGGAGGATGAAGACCCTACCCCAGTTATATTGTGCCCAAGTATAAAATGTCCTCACTCTCAACCTGCCTGGCAGTCATTATTACTGTTACTAGAAATTTAACTTCACCTTTAGTCCTTGAGCTTTTAAATGCATATCTCAACTGGGGTAAGAGGCATGGTGGTATTCCTTCTACGTGACCTCTATTCCCATGACCTTCAGGGACTATGGGAATTTCAAAGCGAAAGAACTGGATGAAGTTCCTGCCAGCAGGGAAGACGAAGATCCCCAATCTGCCTTGGCCCACAGTGATTTTTTTTTTCCCCACTATACTTTTCACTGTGACTCTTGCTCCTCTATGTGGGGCCCTCATGTGTCTGTCTATGTGCATTCCTTTCCACCCACCACAACCCTAGACTCAACCACAGCTTCCTTTCCTGGTGGGCAAAGAGAGACCCAGATAGGTCTCCACTTTTAGAACAACCCAAAGATGGCCCCAGACTACAAGAAGGCCTGTTGGAGAGGCTCAAACAGGACTGTAGTTCCACAGAGTTGAAGAACTGGGGGAGGGGACTTCAGCCAATGAGTGACGTTCAATTTCTATATCGCAGTAGATATATTTAAGTTTTACTTGTCACGGGCCACAAGGCTTCTCTCAGGTCCTGGCACTATCTATGCAACTTCATGGGCACCCCATTCAGCATCTACCCTAGCTTAACTATTACACAATGCCAGAGGCTGTGATTCATTTCAAAGTGGATGATTCATTAAATGGGCGAATGAATGAATGAATAAATGAACAAAAGAATGGCCCCATAGTGCTCATGTGACTAAATATGTAAGTAAACAAATATCTAAAGACATGAATGAATGAATGAATGAATGAAGAAAGAGCTAGAATGAAGATGGAAGGAATTAAAAATTAGTAAGGATATGGATCAATGAGTAAATGCATATGCAAGTTAAGAAAGGACTTATGAAGGAATAGAGGAGTATTAGTAGATCAACAGATTCTTTTATTATTGTTGTTTTCAGTGCTAGGGATGGAACCCAGGATCTTGCGTATGTTAGGCAAGTGAGAGCCTTATCAATGGACTTTTAGTAAATAAATATATGCAGGGATACCTTGATCATGCCCACCCGAAGAGCTGATGGGCAACAGAAGAGAAAGTATGACAAGCATAGCCTCTGCTTGAGTCCTGTCAGGAGCTGGGCTTCACCCAGTAGGATTTTCTACAGATCATGGTGTATGAGTAAGAAAGAAGACAAAAAAAAAAATAGTACTGTGCATCTAAGCCTCCCAGAAGGTGCTTCTAATGATGAACTTCTTAACCCAGTATACTCCCAGGAAATCTTACTAGACACTAGAAGCCATCTTCCTGTTCCTGGTTAGGAGGATGGGAGCACTGGTCCCAG